ATAAACACTATATTTTTGTATCACTACTAGGATATGACCCGCGGTACACCGCGGGTTAATTTTTTTGTTACAAAATAATTTAAATTATAGGTTGTATTTGTTTTGGTAATATCGTTTGTTTTGTTTAGTGTTGAAAATTGTATAATTGTATTTTGATTCTTAATTCTAGGATTTCACCCGTGGTATACTGTCTCGTATTAATATAGATCCAAACCCATCCCACCATATAACCCCGTCCCGTGAAATTAAATATCATTTTGTTATTTTCTTTTTAATAGTACTTTATTTTAAAGATATATAATTCGAATCAATTTAAAAGTTTGCTTTCAAATGGTTCTCATAATATATAAGTTTAATTTTTATAGAGTTCAAATATTATATTAATATTATATTTTTATAGAATCTAAATATGATGATATGACATGCGGTACACCGCGGGGTAAATAATTTTCTTACTTTTTTTGTTTATTTACTGATGATTTTGTTGTATATATTTGATTTAGTATTTTTTGTTTATAAACTTATGATTGATTGTGTTTGGTTTGTAATAAGGTGTAAGTTTGGGATATTATAAGTGTATTATTATTTGGCTTTGATATAGTTAAATATTTATACGATTAAGCTAAATGTATTTACTTTACTATTAAAAAGTACAAAATTAAGTAAATTTAATTTAAAGGGATTAAAATTATATTCATCGTTAAACTTAGCATAGTATTATATCTAAAAATAACCAAGTATTTGTACTAAATGGTACGATTATTTATATATCTATAGTTTAAAATCAATGTTTTTATTTATAAATTGATTGTTGCATCAAATATATTTGTTAGCATAATTGTAGATTGTGTTGTATATGTGTGTTAATAATGTAATTTTCTTTTGTTGCATCATTTTATTATAACTAAAACACACAAAACAAACAATAAATCATTTCAAGCCCAATAAACAAAAGGCAAGCCCAAATATGCCAAGAGAACAAAACCCAAACTGAATAGATATTTTGTGTGCATATTATTTCAGAAAAAAATTAAAGGGAAACGAAAAATTGGAAAAGAAAAGAAATTGATGGTTTCCTGAGAAACAAAAAAAACACAAAAATATGTAAAACTCAAAATCGACAACAGGCTTGGTGTCTCGCCGATCAAATTCCAATTCGATTCCATTCTACATGATTTCCTATTCAAGGATTATAATCGGTTCCGAAGAACATGTTCAAAGTTGAATCAATAGGTAAGAGAATTTCAATCGTATCGAATTATTTGATTTCCAAACAAAGATTTGTTGTTTGTACACAGGTTTATTTTTAAAGACGATTTCATTTTGCATGTCTTTATTCCGAATTACGATTCGATTGTGAAACCAATTTCTACAGTTTGGTCATACAGGAAAAAACATAACTTATGAATCGATTGATGCAGCCACTTGTGGTTTGACAGAGAAAGAACTTCGGGAAACAATATGAAAGCTTGTTGAAGGGTTTGTCAATGATAAAGACAATATACTATCAAAACCCGTGTAGGTAAGAAAGAGATTGTTTGTAGAATCAAGTTTTGGTTATATAGGATTATATGTTAAGAATGTTGTTAGATTCATGAAAATGGTTATTAACCACATACCACTATATAGTTTGCAGCTAGGTATCAGCTTAGAGGTGTGGAAGACACAAAAGGAAAAATTCAGAAAGAAGCTTCTGAGGTTATATATCAATGTATGTTGATGGACCACATCAAATGCTTTGAAACTGTGGCCGTTGGAGTGAAAGACAGTGTACCAGATTCAGTCAGCTTCAGTTGTGGATCTAAAATATGCAGAGGTAGTGCATATACAGAGAAAGCAAAGGATGTGGCCATTGGTGTTGGTAAGGTTTTTGACCTTAAGCTAGAGATCGGAATTGTATTGGTGTTTGTGTTTAGAGGTAGGAGAAATGAGCTATTATATATAGAGTTTTGATAGGTTAGTAGGGTTTTGGGTTAGAGAATAAACATAATCTTGATTAGCAAGGTTTGAATATCTTTCAAAATCTTTAAATCGTCATATACTCTTAACCAATTTAGGATATTATCGTTAAAATCGTTTTTATATGAGACATTTCCAAGTATTTAAGGTTGATTGATTCCAAAATTTTTATAGCTCATTTTATTTAGGAAAGAAAAATGTTTTGCACTTAATTCATTAGCACCTATTTAGGAAACGATTTGGATCAATTTGTTATAACTATATATATTCTCCATATCTTTCAATTATGAGAAACTAAATGCTTTTTGCCTTGAATGTAGGGAGCATCAAATATGGTAGGATTCGATTGAGAGATTTCGGGTCAAAATCATAATTAAGGTAAGATCCGAGAGACTTGTTTCCGGGTCAAAATCAAAAAATCCGACCCGATTGGGGACCCCAAAAACTGCTGCAAAAATGTATAGTAGATTGTCAATGTATAGCTACTTAGGGCTTGATTGGTTCTCCCGCTAGCACCCTCCTAGCGGTTGCTAGCGGTCGGTTGCGGTTGTTAGCGGTTGGTACCAATCATAGAAATCGCTCCGTACCGCTTCAAACCGCTCGAAATCGCTGAATTTCAAAAGCTCCTTCCCGCAAGCATTTGCGGTTGCGGGCGGTAGCGGTTGGATTTAAAAAAAATAAAAAATCAAACGTTACTTATAATTATTATAATATATATTAATCCTATATATATCTTTCATCTTTGTATCACGTTCTCATCAGAAACCCTAATAATATTCTGAAACCCTATTCTCTCAATGTCTTCCACCCATATTGATGAATGGTTAGGCATGTTTTCTTTTGTTTCTTCCCTTTTGCTTCTCCTCTTTCTCGCCAGATTCCAAATCATGTTTACGCTCGTGAGAAATTTCGATCGAACGATAATTGAAGAAAGACTATGAAGCAACGATGGAACAATCATGCATGATCTTAGGAACGATGACCGATTTTAGGAACGATACAACAATGTCCACTATTTTGTACATATCCTTCAAAACAATAAAATCTAATATTAGTTAAAATCATATCTAAATTATAAAAAAAAATAGACGAAAGAAAAAGAAATTATAAAAATCTGATAATTTTAGATCGTACCCGAACACATCCATTGACATAATTAATTAATCTTTTTATTAGGGTAATTATTTTCGTGGGACAAAAGAAAAAAAAAACAATATAAACAAATTATTATTTTTGAGAAGTGTATAGGAAATCGAATTAGAGAAATACCTTAGTTTCATTCGAGTTTTGTTTGTAATTCCACGATCCAAATTGTTTATGCATGTACCAGATCTGAAGAAAAAAAGTGATAATTACTAACATAATAGACACACATAAAACAAACCAATTATGAAAATCAAAACATGTTGATGCGGTCATCAACCCAAGAACCAACCATGGAGAAGATTATGGGCGAGAAGCAACAACCCAGGAGCAGCCAAGTGGGATTTTTAACCAAGTTTTATCCAAAACTTCAGGCCAAAGCCAATTCAGCCTACCCGAGAAGACCCCTGAGCCTTGTTCAGTCCAGACGAAGTCCAAGATCAATTCATCCTGCCCAGCGAACACTTGGAATGCATTCTCAGCTCAAATACCGAGCACCTCGAAGAAGAATCAGCCAAAAAAGAGTTCACACGAAGGAGTTATTCCATTTACAAGTCGGGTGATTCCCAGCTTACCCGATTTGGACATATACGGAGTAATTGGAGGATTCCGACCCGAAAAGAAAGATTTAAGCTACGAAGTGAATGTTTCTGCATTCTTGACTCATCATAGGAGCTCTTCGAGTTGGAATCAAGTCAAAACCGATTTTGGTTTAGGAGATATTAATTTTCCAAACCAGATGATTCTCGGCTTGCCTTATTTGGAAGCTGACGGGTTTAGTCACTTGCAAACCAAACTTTGGCGTCCAGGAGAGTTTCTAATACAACTAGAGGCTCCTAATATCACCTCAAGCTTCATTCTCAGCCATTGTATTAAGTGGATTCAATCTTGCCTAATCATACACCAAGAGTTACCATATATGGACCCGAGAGCATTCAAAGCCCAACCCCAACGGCTATCTTCTGATTTGGTGCGACTTAAGGGAGTTATTAGAAGATTAATAAGCCATGGAATCATCCAGAAGCTTTCAAGATATAAAAGCCCACGAGTTTCCCTTTTTGGACCAAGCATTCAAGCCTAACGGCTACATTATATCAAAGACAATCCCTTTGATATTTCTCATTCATTTGATCGTGTATTTTCTTTCCTTTTTGAATTATTAGACGGTTAGAAATGCCTAGAGGTCGAGCCTATAAAGCTCATGTCACTTGTAACATTTTTATTCACCCTTGATCATATTAAAGTAATAAGAACATTTTCTTCTTGTCAAAGTTTGAGTCTTTGTCGTTTATTCATTAGTCTTAAGTGAGTGAGTCTCTTAGGCCTATTTGAATCTGCGGATCAAGATTGTTGATAAGTTCAACAACCTTCTTTCGTTCATTGATCGAGTGAGTCGATTAACCCATTGATTGAGCGAGTCAATCATTCTATCTCCACGTCGTTTCCATCCTTCCGCGGGATTAAGCTTGGAATCTCTTGATCATTGAGTGATCATAAGTTGGATTAGTTCCAATCTTTTATCATTTGGTATCAGAGCTAAAAGCTCCTATAACCCAGGTGAATTCGTTTCACTTTATCTTTTTTTTTTTTTTTTTTTTTTTTGAGTTTTGCTGTTTATTTTGTTTTATCAAAAGAAAAGCCAAAAAAAAAAATTCGTATTTTGTTATTTTTAATTAATTTCTGAAATTTATTTTTATAAACTCTGAAAATAAAAATTAAAAATTTGATATTATTGTTTCTGTTTTCAATTTGAGTTGTCATAATTAAAAAGAAAAAGAAAATAAGAATATTCCCTTTTCATTGTTTCCTTATTTTTGTTATTTGCAAAATTCTTTTTTCTCCTTCAATTGATTACGTTTTGATTCCTCTTCTTCTGTCTTGTGTTACGAGATATTCCTAGGAGAAAAAGAGAGTCATGACGTCCTATTATATGGCAAAGGAAAACTTTTACTCTTATGAATCCGATTCAAGCCATGGAGGAGACCAAAACCTAGTTGGAGAAGATGGTGACTATGGAGTTCAACCATGGTATGGAGATGACTACGCCAGCTCTGAGTATGAGGAAGAACCAGGAGGTGAAGAGCATGAACCAGAGCCACCAGACCGTTTCCCTACAAGCCAGCACCATACCGAGCCTCAAACCGCAACAACAACTTGGATTCAACCGAATCCTTATGTTTATGAAGATGAGTATGAACGTGAAGGAGATTCTTATGTAGGATACCAGTACCGTTCTCCCAAGCGCAAAGAGAATTCTAGCCACCACGGAGTTGCCTCATACCAAGTGCATACTCGCACCTCATCAGCCAGCCCAAAGAAGCGATCTAACAAGGTGTGTGATTACACATCTAATTCCTTAATCTTTACAGGAACCAGTAAAGACCCTGAGGTGTATTTGAGATGGGAGACCAACATGAAGCAGTGGTTGCGCTCAAACAACATACCTAAAGAAGAAAAGCTGTACTATGCCCTTAGTAAACTTAAAGGAGATGCATATGAATGGTGGTTAAGAGAGGATGCTGCTACTTACTACACTACCAAAGCTGTTCTTGATTGGGGAACTCTCAAATCCAGAATGTATAGAGAGTTTACAAAGAAGTACCAGCCCCGTATTCGCACCACCAAGCCCTTATACATGGAAACGCCAAAGAAAGTGGTGACTACACCAAAACTGCAGCCTATCTTTCAGCCAATGAATGCACACAACCATGAGCCAAGGAGAGCGTCTTCATGCACCCGGGAGACTCCAATAAAGGCTGAGCAGTTTGTTCAAGTAAAAGAGGTTCAACAAGATTCACCCGGAACACTCTTACATGAACTACAAGGAAAAGTGAATCGAGGTAAGTCCTCTAACTCAGTCTTGAAAAATCCTACCTGCTATAAATGTCATAAGAGAGGACATTTTGCTGCCAATTGCCCTCCAAAACAAGTAGATAAAACGTCACAAAGTATAGACGAGATGTTTTCCAAATTAATTGATATGTTGACACCAAAAATTAAAACTCCCAATTCTGTCATATCACACTTGTCTTTGCCAAAAGGTGTTGATGCAGGTTCAAGTCGTACTATGGAGAAAACGGCTGTGTTGATAAGCCAAGAGACTACATGTTGTGATTTAGATTCACAAGCACCACATCAATCTGTCATTACGATTCAACAGGGCAAAACACCTACTCTAAAGCAAGAAACAAACTCCAATATGATTGGAAATCAAGGTAAGTTTCTTGTACCTAAAGATTTCAAAAGACTAACTTGTTATAGGTGCAGAAAGAAAGGACACACAGCAAATTTATGTCCCACAATGAGAGATGAAGCAAAAACAAAACCAGTCACACCAAGTCTGAACCGTGAGCCACAAGTAAATGCCAAACCTATCACGGAATCTCTCACTGTAAGTTATAGTGATACTTTTCTTAAATTGGATAAGAACTTTGAATATGTGCTGCAATTACCTAAGTCCAATGTTGAACAAGAGTCTTTAGATGCTGAGGTGAAACAAGAAATTGTTTCAATTCCGAGAAGTGAAAAGGAGCAATTCAAAAATTGTCAATTCGATTTACATGCTTCCATGACTGTTTTAACACACTTGTCTCTTGTCAAAAGTGTTGAAGTTATTACAGGTACAAAGGATGACCACAAAGGCGATTCATTGAAAAGTAAGGAATTCATGGACCAAAACAAAAATCGTGAAGAGTACACGCCTTTACTTATCAAACGAGCTGCCAATGGGGATGATAATTTCAATGAAACCGTTCAGATCAAGGAGAAGCCACCCGATGAAAAACCACTTGAACCGATCCGAGGTAAGCTTCTACACCCTCATATACTTCAATGGACTAACTTGACTTATCTATGTGTAGGAGATCAAGTTTTGAGGACAAAACTTCTTGAAGAGGGAGGGTATGATGCGGTCATCAACCCAAGAACCAACCATGGAGAAGATTATGGGCGAGAAGCAACAACCCAGGAGCAGCCAAGTGGGATTTTTAACCAAGTTTTATCCAAAACTTCAGGCCAAAGCCAATTCAGCCTACCCGAGAAGACCCCTGAGCCTTGTTCAGTCCAGACGAAGTCCAAGATCAATTCATCCTGCCCAGCGAACACTTGGAATGCATTCTCAGCTCAAATACCGAGCACCTCGAAGAAGAATCAGCCAAAAAAGAGTTCACACGAAGGAGTTATTCCATTTACAAGTCGGGTGATTCCCAGCTTACCCGATTTGGACATATACGGAGTAATTGGAGGATTCCGACCCGAAAAGAAAGATTTAAGCTACGAAGTGAATGTTTCTGCATTCTTGACTCATCATAGGAGCTCTTCGAGTTGGAATCAAGTCAAAACCGATTTTGGTTTAGGAGATATTAATTTTCCAAACCAGATGATTCTCGGCTTGCCTTATTTGGAAGCTGACGGGTTTAGTCACTTGCAAACCAAACTTTGGCGTCCAGGAGAGTTTCTAATACAACTAGAGGCTCCTAATATCACCTCAAGCTTCATTCTCAGCCATTGTATTAAGTGGATTCAATCTTGCCTAATCATACACCAAGAGTTACCATATATGGACCCGAGAGCATTCAAAGCCCAACCCCAACGGCTATCTTCTGATTTGGTGCGACTTAAGGGAGTTATTAGAAGATTAATAAGCCATGGAATCATCCAGAAGCTTTCAAGATATAAAAGCCCACGAGTTTCCCTTTTTGGACCAAGCATTCAAGCCTAACGGCTACATTATATCAAAGACAATCCCTTTGATATTTCTCATTCATTTGATCGTGTATTTTCTTTCCTTTTTGAATTATTAGACTGTTAGAAATGCCTAGAGGTCGAGCCTATAAAGCTCATGTCACTTGTAACATTTTTATTCACCCTTGATCATATTAAAGTAATAAGAACATTTTCTTCTTGTCAAAGTTTGAGTCTTTGTCGTTTATTCATTAGTCTTAAGTGAGTGAGTCTCTTAGGCCTATTTGAATCTGCGGATCAAGATTGTTGATAAGTTCAACAACCTTCTTTCGTTCATTGATCGAGTGAGACGATTAACCCATTGATTAAAGCGAGTCAATCATTCTATCTCCACGTCGTTTCCATCCTTCCGCGGGATTAAGCTTGGAATCTCTTGATCATTGAGTGATCATAAGTTGGATTAGTTCCAATCTTATATCACATGTAATCGGTTAAACTATAATCCTCGTTTAAGAGGTCGATCAACAATAGGCAAAGATCTATGAGATGATGCATCATAAAAAGGACCAACTTTATGGTACAAATCAAAACTATAAACTATAACAAATATGCATAAAATAAAAACTGTGATGTTTGTGTTTTATGAAGGACATCCTATATTTATAGGGATTTGTAACATAGAGTTTTAGGGTTTTACATATGATGGTGTAAATTATACCGGGCCAATATTTTTTTTTTTGAAAATAAGCCCACCGAATATGTTCAGGTATCTTAACATTTTTGTAATATTCAGTGCAATTTTTTTTAATAAAAACGGAAGAAAAACTATTTAAAAGAATTAAATTAGGCAATTTCATTCAAAGGAGGGCAGAAATTGAAGAGTGAACGTGAGCACTTTCATATTGTGCAATTGTCTTAATCTTACCTGAATTTAACATTTTTGTAAAACAACAACCTAACATTTTTACAGAATATACCATATTAGTATATATTGGTTTAATTAGTAAATTTAATTATGTAACCACAAACTTAAAAATATTCTGTCATTTATCTAGGAAATAATACATGTCATCTCTATAAACTGATGCAAATTCAACACTTTCGATAAATGGGAAATAAACATTTATTCAAAAAATATACCAAACGTGTCTTTTATGGAAAGTAACATATTATCATAATTTATTTATATATTTATTTCGCGATATATACAAAAAGTAATCTCATATATAGAGTATAAACTTTTTATAATGTATGTAACATATATCTGAAAAAAACATATATCTGACAATTATATAATAATACGCTAGATGTAATTAAATTTAACATTATTTTGGATATCTCTTTTTAGCTATATATATGTTAAAGATATATAATAATACTCTTTATTTTTTTAATTGAAAATTTCACTTTAAGATTACCATCGAAAAAGTTAAGAATACCAAAAATATTTAAATACCATAAAGATAATCTGTATTATATAACGGTTTCATCAATTGGTAACGAAACACAATTCTCATATACATTTTCATATTTCCCTTTTTAATAACTAATCACAATATAATATAATCATATTTTATGAGAGCTAAACATCGTTAAAAATAATTGTCAATTAACATGATTTAAATAGATTACAATAACCAACGCAATATATTATTTAAAAACCTAATTCAAAGTTAGTATACACCAATCGATTATGTATAAGTCATTTTATTGGTTTAACACCCGATCAGGAATCTAATATATTATATTGGTTTGACACTCGACCTTACTTTAAGATATTATATAGGTTTACCAATCGTACATATACTGAATTTGTAATCACAATATCTAGAATAACATAAAATTGTAAGTATAGTTTATCAATATTGGATTTTCAAATCAAAGTACTGAAACGTCTTATAGAAAATAATATATGAAGACTAATAAAACCTCCTAAAGAAAGAGAACACACCACGATTAAAATAATAAAACCAAAACTCCAAAAAATCTCAATGTTTATTTTCTCTGTCTAGAAACACTTGTGCAAGCCCTTTTCCCTCGAAGTACCTGATAGGGCGATTCATGGAATTAAACCAAACCACATTAAAGAGAATTCAAATCCAAAATTGGAAAATTAACGAATTCATTATGCAATAATGTAAAACACAATAAAAATCCATAAACCATAATTGTATCAACGCAATTACCGGTGAATCAGTTGCCGAATAAAAAAGATTCATATTGATGCAAATCAATAATAAATTAAAAAGAGATTTTGAACATTAATAAGATTCATACCAAAAAAAAACATTAATAAGATTCACATAATCATAGATCATAATCAGACCGAAGTTAAGAGAAAGAGGAGGAGATTTTGTTACCGAGTGAGTAGCGTAGAGCATGAATCTATGAAGGACATGCAAGTCAATCAGTTTGGGCCTCGGTTCGAAACGAGCCAGATTAATCTTCCCCTCAAAGTTGGGTTGACCCCGATTTCGAATCAGTCGATTCAGAGAAACATCCAAGCAGATAGAGAACATATATAGGATATATAAGATATATAATGTTTAGCTAAAAAATCTGAAAGAGTTCAAAAAAAGACACATGTTACGACTCATGATTTGCCCCTGAATTTAAAAACGTATTTATTGTGTTTTGAGTATATCCTAGGGTTTATAGCAGCAAAAAAAAAGCAATAAATAAATTCATGATAAAATAGAAAATATAGTTAGATAATAGAATAAATTTTCGCAAGATGAAACAAACCCTAATATTTTTTAGAGATTTTATTAATTAAATATTTTGTTTTTATTTCATGCACCAATTCATGATGTTTCCATAAACACCAACCTGCAAATTCATACACAAACACCATTAAAGATGAGGATCGATCCACTAACATAACTAAAAAGACATGAACTTAAAAGACTACTTTACCTTTTTGTTTTGGTATTTTTCTTACTCTTCATCATCTTTTTCAATACTTTCGGTGACGATTAACCTACAAAATTAAAACACACGATTAGATGATACCCAAAAGTTATTTATTTGACACAATCAAACGAACATACAACTCAAAAAATAAAAGAAACAAATCAGTATTATCATATAAACACCAATTTATAAAACACACAATACACAAACTCGATTCATGAAAAGAATCGTAGCTATATGAAAAAAATCATAATATCGAAACTATCTAATGAGAATAAAGAAACTGAAAAACTCATCACAAATTGGCAAAGATCTTTGAGATCTTACTTTTCAAGTGACCATAACATAAAAAAGAGAAAAAAAAAAACGACGACGATGCATCATAGAAAGGACCAAATTTGAAGTACAAAAAAGAATTTATAAACCATAATTGCTATGCATAAAAAGCCAGCCGTGATGTTTGATTTTCAATGGAGGCATCATATATTTATAGGAATTTCCAGCATAAGGTTTTAGGGTTTTACATATGACGGTGTAAATTATACCGGGCTTTTTTCGTAAAAATATAAGCCCAATAAGCGAATTAGGGTTGAAGAAACGAAAACGGTATGTTTCCTTTTTCACAATTTCGATTTTTTTTATTTATTAACAAAATGGAAATTTAACTAATCTAATCTCAATAAAGGGGGGGGGGGGGCAAAAACGACTGCTCATATTCTGAGAGCGAACGTGAGCACTTTGGACTTCTCCTTTAATATATAAGATATATATTATGTTAATAAATTTGTTTAATATTCTAATAATAAGCTATGTCATTTTTCTTTTACAATAACAGATTAAATATAGGCAATTGCCCATTTAAATTGCAATAAATTTAAAATCAAAATAACAATCTACATATATATTTTTGCAGGGGTTTTTTGCTTTTAATAATTTAGATCCGAGTTTTACTCGGTTTTACTATATCCGGATCTTGGATAAGACATTTAAGGAAATCTAAAAAAACCTGTCATTAATGTAGATAATTACACGTATATTTCGGTATAAGCATATTCCAAAAATCTCTCCCAAATCAAAGATGTTACGTTCAAAAATTGTTGGCAAAAATCTCTCGCTTTCCTTCTAAAATCTCTACCATTGGCTGTCATCCCAACTAATTACTCATAATTATCTTTCCTATATTTCTTTCTTTTCGAGATTTGCAAGAAATTACTCAATTCCAAAAATAAAAGATTTTGAAGATATTGTGTAGTTGATCAGCAAGATTTTAGGAACTCACTCACCCAAAACCCTATAGTATTCTCAAAACATTATAAATACCTTTCATTAGTCTAATCAAAACTCACTTGTTCATTATCTACCTAGCAGTATTTTGCATTATTACTTACATTGCTTTGTTGGGTGTCACTCTATCGAAATCTTAATCGATTGATCCACCTAGATCACCTAGAGTAGTCTGCTTCAGATGTGACCTTAACTAGTTACGAGTGTAGTTGTGCAGAGTGAGCTTCATGGACTAGCGGCTTTGCAGTGGTCTATTTGTCAGGATTCACTTCGAAAGTAAGTTTTTCTCTCCTTATAATTTCGGTTGATGCAACTACAGGGTGACAACTGACAAGTATTTCTTCATGAGTATTTGACTTTGTAATAGCCTCGTATATATTTGTATTTGTAAACCATACTCCCAAAACTCTATCAAGCTCCAAAAGTCCCCAAGAAAACCACAAAATACTTGAAGCATCCCCTGTTTATACCTACCAAGTTGATGGCTCATTTGTGAATGTTCTAAAATATCCTCAAAAGTAGTCTTGTTGAGTGATGTCAAAAAAAAAAAAAAAAAAAAAGGTATTCTTGTTGAGTATTGTGGCTTTTGTGCGCTAATAACTTACATTTGGAGTGACTGACAGGGCAGAAAAAGCAAGGCGCATATATGAGAAGCTTCTATCCCACCCGAATCCGAGAGTGAGCAAGAAAGCGAGGCAGTTGATGTTCAGTTTTCAGGTAACTCAAACACCCACAAAAGTACTATACCAACAAATGACAACAAGCAAGATGAGTTGAGTTTGCTATCTGACTATGATCGGACAAGAGCCAATTCAACTCTTTTTGTTTGCTTATTGTGTGACTAATGATAAAAAAAAAATGTTGGCTTAATAACTTATTATATCCTCTGGTTTTTGGCAAACAATTTCCCTTAAAAATGTGAGGGTTTTTCTTTACACACTTGTAGGCAATGGAGAGGCGGAAGGTTAAGGGGTCGAGCTTCATGGAGGGAAACACTGGTTATCAGGACTACTTTGTAGCCTTTGTCAAA